GCAAAGACTGAGACTCTCTCCAACTCTCCGGATACTGAGAAGATTATAAGTCAAAGGTTCGGAACTCTTATAATTTATCCCAAAAAATATAAATATTAGCAATTTTAAGTATTTACATCTTGGACGGCATCCCTCAAAGCTGCAATTTGCTCTGCTGATATTGTGTTCACCTACAGGTACCAAAATATAAAAAGTTAGGAATTTTGTAATTTACAGACCCAAAAATGAATTTTTTAATGAGTACAAAATATTATTATATAAAATTTATTTACCCTTTTAACGACGGTCCAAATAACACCTTCAGTGCAAGGAGGAACAGTAAGAGAACCAATATATCTATAGAATTTTCTGGTTTGAAATTTAATATCTTGAGGATTCACAGTTCCTAGATTTATTTCTTTTTTTCCAACTGCTTTTATTCCATTTAGTAGCTGCATTAAAGAAAAACATTAAAATATTATAAATATGATTTTTCAGTATATTTAGTAGTATCATTTAAATATAATGTAGATAGTTATTGTATAAATATAACATGTTATTTCATTATAATGTAATATTCTTTTTACCTTTTTGAGGAATTCATCAGGTTTGCCTAATTTATAAAGAACACCAATCACTGCGAGTCTGCCTGAAGCACTTTGGTGAACCATGTGAAGCTCCACATCGTATCTGTAACACATTTTGGGGGAAAAATAGTTAAAATTTAATGATCATAAAAATATTTGGAAAAAAGCTTTTTAAAAAAAAAAAAAATCCTAGAAGTTCTGTAAATGAGTTTCTATTTTAAATTTTTTTTTTTTAAATGACAAGAAGCCTCGTTATAAAAAATAGACGGAAAATCGCAAAACCTTGTTCCGTTAATGGTATGTTCAGACGGTGAATGCCAATGACATTGCACCAATTTGAAATCCGTACGACGTACTGTTATTTTTCCGGCATCTCCTTTCCATGATACCTTAAAAATAAAAACTAATTAATCAGATTAAAATTATTACGAGTAGTATAGTAATCATATAGTTAAATTTGATTAGGAGAAATTAATTACCATAACATCATGTCCTCTGTTTATAACTGAAGCCAAAGCTGGTTTGTATTGTCTTCTCCATGCTCCATCATGAATAAGACTAACTCTTTCGTTAGTAAGATCAATCGGAGATTGAAATTTTCCGGTGTTACATATTCTCCAATGAGGATTTATTTTGCCCCATCCTTCTGGTCCTTTCTCTATGCTTTGTTCGTATGTAAATGGTGTTTCATCCTCTGATTCCACATTACATTTTCATTAAAAAAATCATTTATAAGTCTAAAAGTTTGATGCAAAAGGAGAAAAAGATGTAGTAAACATACCGACTTCCAAATCATGTGCATGTAAATTATTAGGGAATGAAGATAAGAAGAGGAAAAGCAACGCGAAAATGGATA